TCTAGAGAGAGTGCGTCGGGATGGGGTCCATCTATTGCTAGTAGCCCCGTTCTGGCCGGGCCGAGTATGGTTCTCGGACCTGATTTCTCTCCTCGACGGCACTCCATGGGAGCTTTCCACCGTGAAGGTGAAGTTGTTGTATTTCCTCAGCGACCAGCACGGATCAGCTCCAGGCATGAGAAGACCAGGAAGGCCAACCAAAGTAGTTTCGCTTTCACAACGAAAAACAGCGCCTTCACAACATGGCGGCGGCGGCAACAACAATACTACAGCGAGAATAAAAGTTATGCCTTCTTTCTTTGCGTGAACGCGTAAACATCTCTTTGGATTTGAGACTTCAGTCTTTGCAACTTTACAGATCTTCTTTATGCACCAAGAGCTTGTAACACTCCAAAGAGAAAGGAAAAATTGAAATCGCATCATATGACCCCTTTAAATGATCTATAGCTATGCTAGAATGGATGAATGCAGTGGTGGATTTATTTATTTATTAATTTAATAGCTGTGTTAAAGCCTTAAATCTTAATAATACAAGATCAGTCACATTTGCATGCAGATGTTCACCATAACACATGCTTTGTTTCCAAAAGGGGCTCTTAATTGATTGAATCCACTTTATCTTTGTTATTCTCACAAAGGTGTGTGTACTGTATGTCGATCTCTTAGATGAGGTTTGGTGGTGTGAATTATGCATGCAGAACAAGCGCACTCTGAATTGAGAAGCTGTCAGGTCTGTTCGAATCTGGAAGCTGGCTATGAATTGGAGATGCTTTTACTCATGAAAATGTTGCGTCTTTCTCTTTTCCTTCCTTCTTTTACCTCTCTCTTTCTCTCTCTTTCATTTTCTCTCAACCAGAGGTATTCCATTTTCCAGGTCTGGTTTGTATGCAGTTTGTTAAGCAGTTGAACTAATTAATGTAATGGGATGAAAAGAAGAGATTTAAGAGCGTATTTGTACAGATGAAGAATGATTCAGGCTTGAAGGAACTGAGTGGAGCAATTAAATATTCACACAAGGGACTCTCAGTCTGTTTTGTGGGGCTCACACTCACTTTGTTGTTGTTCTCTTATTGAACTAACAGATTAGATCTATTTTTGTAAGTGCTTTTATCCAAAATAGATGACACAGATACAGTGATGAAATTGTTACATTTCTGAAAGAAACTAGTTTCAAATCAAAGAGGTCTGTAATACCTGTAGTAAGCTATCTGCATTCCTATTCATATCAATGGCAGTTGCTCATCTGTTTCAGGACTTGCTAATGCTTGATGTTGCTTTCTTAAAAAAAAAACTGATTTGCTAACAAGCTGTGAAGGCTTTGATATAGGACAGAGTTATGCTTTAAGCAAAGCCATAAGTGTGCCCGACCGCAAGTTTCCCAAAACCCTTCTGATGTACCTTGTTCAGCAACTTCTTTAAAAGCCTGAAGGGGAACACAGGGAGAATGCTGGAACTGACTGTACATTTCAGAGCCAAAAAGCCACAAGAAGCAATCATCAGGATCCAGTCAGTTTGGAAAATTGTGCAAAAATGTGACAAATCAGATCCTGTGTGTGCTGCAGTACAGTTGTTTTGGTGGCAAATGGAAAATATTTCACAGTTTAGATTTTTCTTCTTTAGTTATAGCACCCCGTAGCATCAGAAAAAGATGGCATCCTTCATCAGATTGGTGTCTTGGTGTCCTTCTGTACCAGGTTTTGTAAAGGTATTTTAAATTGAGCTTATAAGAATCAGATCAAGTCAGTATGGGCCAACCCCTGCCAAAAACAGATTCATTAATTCTTTCATTCATTCATTTGTCATTTAAGACAATTTGATTGTAGTCCAAATATCTCTGGGGTTATTATTAAAAATGTAAGTGTGCTTATTATAGTGACAATTAGTGTCAGAAAATGTTGTGCATAATTAGTGGGAGAGATTTTAGAGAAGGGAAAAAAAAAGTTAAGAAAAATAAGAACATCCCAACAAATACAACAGGGTGCCATCGGCTGCATTGTGTGTTACCTGCTTTAATTCAAGACTGAAAATGACGAGGATGGAACAAAATAAAATACAAGGTAATCATCTGTCTGGTGTTTCTACTTATAACTATGGCCTGAGCACATCTCAGATGTTTTGTACACAGTACAGGGACTGCTGTCTGTTTGATTGGCTGTTACACTGTATGTTCTTGTGGAGCAGACATACCTCATGTCTTTACCCCCATGTGTACCTTTTCAGTAGGCATGAAAGCGGGTCAGAGAATTCATGGAATTGTAAATTAAAGGCGTTTTCAGTATATAACTAATTTAGTCCAGCCACAGGGTCCCTAATATCGCAATGGTGTGACCACATGAAGTCTGTCTAATTTGATTTCTTTAATGTGTCAGCATTTCACAAAAAGCTGTATTTCAATGTAAACTGGCTGGGCTATGCAAAGCTATATGTGTCAGAATACTGTGCGTTGATTATGAATATGTTTGCTTGTGGGTGTTGTAATAGAATGAATGGACAATAAAATACATCAGGAATGTAGAAGGTGCTTCCGAAATCTATATCTGTCCGAGGAAAAATACTGTAAATAAATAACAGCCAAATTTTTGTTACACTTTTTCAAAAGCAAATCTTTAGCCAGTCTTGCCTGAACTACTTCAAACCCACTGTCTGTGTGAAGGTTAAACACATTGGGGTGAATGCAATAAACATTTACACCACTTTTGAGAGCAGTATTTTAGCACAAAAACACATTTATTCAATAACCTTGTGCCGTTTAACCACACACTCTTTGTTGTATTAGTTATTGTCATTCTTTTCAGCACAAACTCACCTTTCTATGTTAATTGGGCTTATAGATTGAGCCTTGCTCACAAAAGTCAGTGCTATTTGGCTGGTGCAATTAACATTGGGCTGTTCACCAATCACAGAAATGGTGGAATTGACTCACTAAATGATAGAGAAGAGCATTATAGTCAGTCATATATCTTGCATGGTGTAGACAAGCATACTTTTGGCATTTTAAAAAGCCGATTTAGGTGATTTGGGCAAATTTACGGCATTACCTGATATGCATAATTTCTTTAGTGAATTGAGCATTAAAACAATGCAGACAGCATGTGCAAATAAACAGCGCAATCAGAGAGTGCGATTCATTATTGGGAATTCCAGTATTTTTTTAATTTTTTTTTTACAGTTCACAAGCTAACGTACCTGAATTCATTCACTGACATTGAAGATAAAACGTTTCCTCAGGTTGTACGTAACTGCAATTACTGCCTCAACGTCAAGGTCTTCCTTTGTTCAGACGGTCTGGCTTGATTCATTGGTCTGAGTGAGATTAGCTTTGGGTTCAAGCTTCTGTGTGAAATCAAGGACATGCAGGTGTGTCAAGCACTTCCATTCATTCCAGACCACTCACTCTCCTTCCTGTTATCACTGCAATTACCTTGGAAATGTCACATATGTTGTTATATGCAAACGTACATAACATTTTTATGAGTCAAGATGAAATTATCTCTGTTTTACATCATTAGGGGAAGAAGGTATAAATCTATACTTAAAAGCAGGCCTTATCCCCATAGATATGTGTTGATTGAGTGTAATTAAAGAAAAGTCAAGTGAAGGTTTATTGTTGTTTCTGTTATAGAGTAATAAAATAAACTGTTTCTCAAGTGACCTTGGTTGAGAAGCTTAGCATGAGCCATGCAACAGTAAATGCAACAGTAAGGCAACGTTATAGAATAGTAGATACAATAACCACAACCTATACAGTATACAGAGACTGCCAGTGTAAACATTATATACATTCAACAAATATGAAACATACACCATACTTTATTATTGCACTGTTGAAAGGAGCATTAATTCCGCTGAGAAAATAAGCTCTTTCACAGTCTTTGCAGCAGTACACAGACTCTTGAGCTCGGAGGGAGCTTGTGTCATGGTTCTTTCCAGTGTTTTTGATCTGTCATACCATTTTATGGAACTTTTCTTTTTCATTGTCACCTTTGACTTGGTTGTATTGGTTTATAAGGCACTAATCCTTGTAAACATGCTTTAGAACAATATGCATGTTTAAAAAAAAAAAAAAAAAAAAATTTTACCTACACCAATTTTACCGTTGTTCTGCAAATTTTCATTTCAATGGCAATCCATACGATTTTGTGTCAGCACTAAAGATTTCCCCATCCAGGTTTCACAACGGTTCAAGTTCACACAGATATTCATCACATTGACCAACAGAAATCTGCTTGCTTTATAAGTTATTTCTGTGTTAGCTGACCTTCATACATTGCAACACTACTGACAACTGACAGTGGACTTCACTGAACCACAACTCCATGGCTTTTGACTGTTTGGTGTATTTTTTCTAGCATTAAGGCTCTTGTCCTGAAGTGCATTGGGTCTATATGAGAGATTTTGTTTCTATTCTGAATATCTCCCTGTACAAATGATGTGTCGTCTTCTTCTGTTTTGTGGTGTAATTCAAACGCAATAGAAACAATAATGACTTTAAACGTCAAACTTTATTGAGACTGCTGCAGCCCTGTGTCAAAATAAGGCATACAAGTCTCTAACGAGTTTAGTTTGGAGGTATTGTTATACCATCAGCCGAAAATGGCATTTGGCCTTGCAAATAAACAGTTAAAAGTACATATGTAGGTTTTAAACAAAATTACATATAACACAACTAAATATAAAGGGAAGGGGGTGTTCTGCAGCTTTGCGATAAAAAAAAAATCTCAGTAAATACAAGCGCATAAAATATTAACCAAATGCAATTATCACATATTGCTGTGGCTAGCAATCACAGTTCTGCTGAGCTGAAATAAAAGGCTACTTCGTATTGCCCACTTTGCTTTGAATAATTGATGATACCCTCCAAACAAATTTACGGTATCTTTAGAAGTTATTGCCGAAGATAAGAGTGGAAGATTCAGGCTATTTGGGGAGTCAAGTAATCACTAAAATTTCTTGCTGATAGAAGAGCTCTCTCATTCTCTCTCTTTCTCTGTGTTTTTCAGGTTGACATGCTTCGGCCAACAAAAATCACAGGCGTCATTACCCAGGGGGCTAAAGACTTTGGACATGTTCAGTTTGTCGGCTCCTACAAGCTGGCTTACAGCAATACTGGCGAGAGATGGCTTATATATCAAGACGTAAAACAGAAGAAAGACAAGGTAGGATTCTTTCTTGCACATTACCACGTCAAAAACGTATCTGAATCACCTTGATCTAAAGGCTTTTTTTGCTAAATCTAAACACTACTCTAGATAGTCATTTATTTCATATACCTGGCTTCAGTGGACATGTTTACATCCCAAAGTCAATGAAAGAAGCACCCCCTTGTCTGGAATCAGGGTTGTATTTTCTCCTCCCATCCTCTCCTGTCAGCACTGTCCCAGGGTACCTGGGCAGACTCTGTCTGTCTCTCTCTCTCTATGGCCTGCCTACAACCAGATAACGGTCCAGATCTGCCCGGCCTCAGTGAAGAGTGTGCCAAAAATGTTTGTTTACAACCCTCTAGTGGTCACTAAACAAATGTCCAGTCCATTTGCCTGAGCTTGTCTTATGAGGTTTCTGGCGTTATTCTAAACCTAGCAATGAAGCTGTTTGTTTGTGTATGTACATTCTGGAAACATACTTGCCAGTTTTTGAAAAGGAAAAACTTTTATCAGGGAGTCAGGGTTGTTAAAATGAAAAGCTAAGAGATGGCTGAAACATGGCTTTTAGCAGTAGACATATGTCTCTTTGTGACCTTAATATTTGTAATGTTTGTCACACAGCCCTGTGGCACAGCTCTTATTTCAGTTCATTTTTAGCACTGAGATAATATTTGTATTTGGCTACTGCTATAAGGATGTGTGCCATGGTAAGGAAAGAGAGCTGGTGAGTATTAGCTGGCACAGGGTCAGCACCTTGGCAAGCCAAGCACAGCATGGATCTTCAGATAAAAATGTGAAAAGCCAGAGATAGCTTCCTGCGATTATAATGAGATTATTAAAACCTGATCTGCACCCCAGTGTTTCTCACTTGTTCTTCACTGATTTTTCCTCAGATTTCCCAAAGTTCTTATCTCCAGTTATATGATATAAAGCTACATCTCACAAAATGTTTAATCATACTTGCTAGTAAGATGCAATATACTGTAATTTCTAGGTAGAGTATAGAAATCACAGTAGAATCCCATTTTAAAAACACATTTAATTATGGAGCCAGCAGTTAGCGTGAATATTCCAGTGCTCATTTTGTTTTAAATCATGGTTCTTACGAGGATGAAACAAGATTGAGTACCTGCAACATGACCTGATTCCATGTGAGTGGTCATTTTCCATTTTCTGTGGAGAAGTCGTTGGCATAATGCTAGAATATGTTGAAAGTGGTAGTAAGGTTGTTACTATGCTGTAACTAATGTTCTGAGTAGAATTCAGGGTGTTACTATGAAGCTTCTAGGGTGTTCTGGGTTGTTGCTAGAGCATTACACTGTAAAAAAAAACAAAACAAAAAAAACATTACCAACCAACCAATTGCCTAAAATAAGGTTTGTGGTTAACACAAGCTCAACATATTTTCACGTTTTATTCTGTGAAATAAAATATATCAGCTATACCCCACTTTTTTACTGTGTGTGTGTGTGTGTTTTATGTGTTTTACTTGCTAACAAGTTGCTAAATTGACAACCTACAGAGGTTGTTGGAAACATAAAACGTCCTCATGGCGAATTAGTAAAATCATCACTTACTATTCTGCTTTTACAGCTTCATAGCTGTTTATAATCATGCACTTGCAAACTATTCTAACTCAAAGATTCCAACTTGAAGATTTTAAAAAGTAGGGCTGATGCGATATCTGCAATATCGCAATACCGCGCTATTGACGAGCCAACCGCAGAGAAGTGCGCAGCAACCGCAATATTTGCTTTTTTTTTTTTTAAGGTTACGCCCTTCTCGTTTTACACTTTGTGCATGTGTACTGAATATTAAATAAGTTAGTAATGATAACATGTGTACCATGTGTACCATGTTGTTTTGTACAGATGCTCCATAGATTTGCACTTAACATGCCTAAACAGACAGTGAATGAAAGAGAGATCGACTGAGAGTGTGCGATTACCTACATCTGTCCTTCAGGCCGAGTCATATATATTTGTGAATGAAGGTTGTCATGTCCATGGAAATCGAAATTTCTGTCTTAGCATCGATGCAATGCTGGTCAGCCGGCACTCAAAATTAACATGATTTCAACAGCGTGTTTCATTACATCTCTCTTTGAATGAATCAGCGTTTTTGAATGTGTAGTTGAATTAACGGTTTAAAGATTCCCTCAAAGACAGTCCCTTGCCACCACCTCGTGGCACAACAATGTAACTGCACTGATGACAGCCCGTCTAGAATCCACAGGTGAAATATCAGCAGAAAGTCTCTTGTCCAGTCAGATTAAAAGATCAGAACTAACTGTTATACATAGGCTAACAACAGCCCAACCATCTTATTGTCAGCTTTATGTTCTGTTATGTGGACCCTTATTTTGACATTCTCTTCTGTTTACTTCACTTCCTGTTTCAACGCTCTATTTAGTTTTGGTTTAATTGGTTTCTGAATATGGCCTTGTTACATCGTAACACACACACACACACAGAATAAATATAGCACACTATTGAGCCACTCAAAATTACTGCAAGGGAAATTCCTTCACCGCGACAGCACTATTAAAAAGAGATTGAAAGAGTTCTCAGAAGCTTAGTGGTGGTGGTGTTGAAGTAATGCGACCTTGGTGTAGTTCATCTGTAGCCTAGCTTTAGCTTTTTACTCCTGCGGATTGCACTGAAGCTTTTTAGATTATCTTGGTGAAATAATGTGCAAGAATGAAACTTTTTTTGGTCACAGAGCTTTTCTGGAAAAATCGTATTGACTTCTTGTCAATGGAACCAGAATGATGCTAATTTCCAGATGACATACAGTATAAAAATATGTCATTCTTTTAATACTCTGTAGAAGTAATGATAGTGGCGAGAGAAAGACTGATGACAGAGTTTGTAAATTAACGTATCTGTTTCCCTGTGATTTGCTTGCACTGCACCTGTCAAAAAAGAGACACAAATTGACAAGTTGTCATTGTCCACAAGAGAGTGGCGTCAATGCATTAACAAATAGTCGTTCAGCTTGGTTCTGTAAACACTACAAGGATTAAATGAAAATTGATTCGGCTCTGGTTGTCACTCCCCAATATAACCAACTCTGAATGTAAAGAATGGCATTAAGCACTCAAAAGAGGAGTGACAACAACATTTAGCTGTATTGTATACCCATGTGTGGCCCATTATCGCTTGTAGTCTGTTCCTCAGATCTTACTCTGCCTTTGGCCAAAACCCAAACGCATCTGAATGTGCTTAGCCTCAAGAGACACGCCAAATCATTTAAAACAAGGCGTTTTGCTAACACACTCACGTAATGCTTACTTACCCCATATTTTCTACACAAACAACACCTTAAAAACAGATTTTACCTGTTTTCTGTCAAAATTCATAAGCCCACTTGAAGCTGTTGGCAGTGTAGACACTGTGATTGGCATGGTCATGCAATACCCATCATTGATTAGCCTCGGGTCAACGTCAAGGGGTTAATTAGCCTGTGAATAGAACTATTCCCTCACAGCCAGTGGGGTCAATAGCACATTAAATGGCAGTAAATAAGATCACGTCCCAAGATTAGCTGCCACAGGATTCCCTTCCCCCATCCAAGCATGTTGCCACATTCCCTTGATGTGGACGTGAAGAGAGAGATAAATCTCTGTGGTCTATATCAAGATGGCGCCACAAATGGCAGCAATGGCGCTGAGCTCCGCAATCATTCTTCTTATATAAGTTTTTACCAGAGATGAACTCCTTAACATTAAGCAACACATCCCAGACAATATTTTTCCGGTCTTTGATTATTCAGAAGTTTTGTTGGAGATTGTAGTTGGAGGTGCAGCGGTGCTGTTCAAACGCACGTACAGAAGCAGAAGAGCGCCGGTGTGCTGGTTAAGCTCATTGAGCGCGGCTTTTGATCTGTGTTCCCAAGCATTCATCTTGTGAATGTCCATTCCCTTCTTAACAAAACGGATGAACGTCTTCTCCTCACCCGCATCAGCAAGGATTGCAAATTCTGATGCATTATGCTTCACTGAAACCTGGCTGAGTGAAGCCATTCCAGACAAAGCGCTTCATCTGCCGGGCTTCCAGCTGTTCAGAGCGGATCGCATCGTCAAGTTAACGGGGAAAATGAGAGGTGGTGGATTGTGTTTCTTCATCAAGGAAAGTTGGTGTTCAGATGTAACAACGCTGAAAAATATATATTCTGTCCTAATTTAGAGGCACTCTTCATAATCTAAACCTTTCTACTCGCCGCAGGAGTTTTCCTCTTTCATTAATGTGAATGTGTAAGTTCCTCCAGACATGTGTGTGAGCACAGCACTGCAACAGCTGGTTAAACAAATAACTGAAATGGAGCAAAGGTACCCAGACTCTCTTTTAATCATTCTTGGAGATTTTAACAAAGCAAATCTTTCCCGTGAACTGCAAAAATACAGACAGCACGTTACATGTCCCACCAGAGACAGTAATATATTGGATCACTGTTACACCACAATAATGGATGCATATCACTCTGTCCCACGGGGAGCTTTGAGGCTCTCTGATCACTGTCTAGTTCATCTCATACCAACCTACAGGTAGAAACTGAAATCAGCTAAACCTGTATTAAGGACTGTTAAAAGCTGGACTAATGAAGGAAAGCAGGATTTACAAGCCTGCTTCGACTGCACTGATTGGAGTGTTTTTGAAGCTGCAGCCACCATTCTGGATGAGCTCACAGATACTGTAACTTCATACATCAGTTTCTGCGAGGAAATGTGCATTCCTACCAGGACATTCCTATCATTCAATCATGATAAACCATGGTTTACTGGGAAACTCAAACAGCTTTGTTACGCTAAGGAGGATGCTTACAGAAGTGGGGATAAAATCTTGTACAACCAGGCCAGAAACAGACTGACAAAGGAGATCAGAGTGGCTAAAAAAAGCTACTCCGAAAAGCTGAAAAAACATTTTTCATTCAATGACCTGGTGTCAGTATGGACTGGTCTGAGGAACATCACCAAGTACAAGACACCACCCCCGCAGTCTGTGGAGAATCAACAA